TCCCGCTGAAATGAGGGGTTGGTTGGCACGAGGGGTCTCCGAGGAATGCAAGAATCTCTGCCATGATCCCCATAGACCAAAGGGACTACACGACGGATACTGCAGCGAGATTGCCGTCCGTCGCTCCGCGTCCATGTGCTTGAGTAACAGGGTCCACGCGACCTCCGGACTCACGTTCTCGTCGTAAATAGGTAGTGTGCGGCACCGGAAGATGTACGCAAGCCCAGAGATCCTGTCGAGCTCATTGGTGCATGAGCGTTCGCGAAGAGTCTGAGCAAGGCCAGAACCGTCTCCACGGCTGCTGACCGCTGCCACGATACTGCGAAGACGGTGGAAGAACGCATGGGCATCTATGAGAGGTCCGCAGGTTAAGCCTCCTGGAAGCCAGCTGAGCGGAGACTCCTGCAACGTCCAGACACGATTGAACCACTGCCGTGTTGAGCGCAGAACGGCTGGTGAGGTGTCGAGAGGCAGACCGAGGCCATTGAAATAAATGATGCAGGGCGTCGAGGGACGAGAGTAGGTGTAGCCGATGGTGGGGACGTCGAGCTTCCATTCCTCTTGCCGTTGCGTCTCGTCCTTGTCTCGTCCTCTCTGCCTTAAGCATAGAACATCAAGCCATACGTACTCGGCGCCCATGTTGAGTAGCTCTATGCGAACGTGGTCGAGGGTCGTCCCGTGCGGGGTAGGGACAGGCCATTGCTCTCCGTTAATCTTCGTCCATACTTTGACGAGGTCATCGTCGTCCACCCAGCTATGCGAGACACACCAGACATTGGGCGGTATGTCTTCAGGTCTTGACTTCGCCTCTCGCGGTAGAGCATAAAGCGGGAGGACACGATTGGAGTACAGATCCCACACACGACGGGGAGGAATCCTGGAATTTTGGATGGAGGAGCCACGGATAGCGTTGTGGCGGATCGTCTCGAGCTCATTTCTGCGAGCAGCTACCTTCTCCACGACGTCGCGGAAATCACTATGCCACCAAGGGCGCAGAAAGCCGTATAGTTCGCCAAAATCCTTGGACTGCTGTACGAAATGCTGTAAGCAGCTTTCAAGACCGGGGGTGTCCAAGGAGTAGTCGGTTTGGAAGATGTGGTTAAGGACACAGAGTAGGTCCTGCCAATCGTCGTCGGCGCAAGGTGCGGCCGCTAGTGTATTTGGTATAGTACCGTGACCCACGTGTAGCCGCTGAAGTGAGACTTCAGAGCGTCGGGACGGCCTCAAAGGGAACCTCATGCCATTGCCCATGCCCTGAGATCTGAACAAGATCTCCTCGGAGACAAGTTCTGACTCTGCAAGTTGCACCATCCCCCAGATATTCATGCGATTGTTCTCTGAAGTTGTGTACGGATCTCCACTCCCGTTGAAACGTCGTTCGAGCCCAGCAGGAATCACGGTCGCGCCGGCGGTGGCAATTTGCCAAGGAGGGCTTTCGCAAGGAACTATGATAGACGTCCCTTCCAGCTCGAAACGCCAGCCCGCATTCTCCACCTGCGAGGTAATATCAGCACACTGGGCGTGACGAGGCATTCGCACGAGACGTGCTGCCATGCCAAGAACTCACCGGTGTCAGATTGTCCGGGTCAGGTGACCGTTTTCGTTTTCGGCTACCCGGGGAGTCGGGTGACCGTTCTCGTTTTCGTCTAAGTAGAGTAGAATAGGTCCTTGTGAGTATGTCATGACATGAAGACAAGCGTATCCGTTACAGCGCACCGAAGAACGGATTCTTGCATCGCCAACACTCGGAAAGACAAAGAAAACCTGACAGATAAAATGCCTGAATATTGAGGTTGGGCGGGTCACAGAGCGAGCTTACCAGAGAAACGAGCAATCACCTTAGGAAATTTGAAGTAACAATGATCGTCGCGGTTATTGCAGCGGCAGCAGCGATAGAACAAGCGAGAAAGCCGGCTCGGGTGTAGTGAGAACGATCACCTGGATCACCGTCGGCTTGCCCTCCACGTGGCGGCGGTGGATAGGAATCACCTGAGATTCCCTCTTTCTGCGTAGCAGTTAGCCTCATAGAACGACGACGTGAACGAGCATGGGTCGCCATGGCGTAACGACAGTCGGGGCAAGCAGAGCCGGCGTAGCAGAGCCGCGTAGCAGTTGGCCTGGCGCGCCAGAAGGATGTCGAGATGAAAACGACGTACTTTGGGCAGTACCTCTGCGTTTTCCGTTTCCTCTGTTTGCGCTGGCAGCGTAGTTGTGGTCAAAAAGCGAGGCGTAGACGCTGTGCAACGAGGAGGGTCCTGATGCGCTGTTGCCTCGTGCAGGTTGCGGCGTCGGGCACATCCGCAAACGGAACCGACCATGAGCTGTCAATCCATCCGCTGATGCGAATACGTGTCCGAACTCTCATTCCACGATGACTGGGCGTATTGCAGTGGGGTGTTCAGGAGCAGGCATGTCGCAGTGGTGCCCTCTTCACGCACGTAGTCAAAGACGCGTCAGCAGCTATGAAACGAGCACCGATTAGGCATACACAGCTATGGGCAGCGGGTCTAGGATACACAGAGTTCATATTGGTCTAAGGCTGGAAAGGTGCCTGTATGCGCGCGTAAACCGAGTCTTTTGTGAAATTCGAGACAGTGTAGGATTTGACACCGCAGAGTGTAATATTGAAAAGGGACGTGCGCATCCGGAACACTCAGACCTGTCTCGCTGTCAGCTTCATCTTGTTTGACTTCACGCAGAACTCACCTTGCAAAGCGATATCATCTAGAAAGTAACAGATTCCTGCTGTTCCATTCCGCCCTATTGAAGTATATCGGCATTTCAAATACCACCATCTTGTTATGACACGCACAAGGGATCTGTACGATCGATACCGGTGGCTGTATATGCGGGCTCGGACGATGACAGGATTGTGAAAACTGGCCGCACTATTTCCTGTCGTCGATGCGAATGAAATGCGGTGTATGGGAAGACACATCTGCCGGAATGGTCATTGATAAACGCACACACAGCCTCCCCCAGAGTACGTACCTGTAATGCGGTCCTCGCTGGATGCGCCGAATAAATCTTCTGCCAGATCTGCGGACGGAGGTGGACGGTCGCTTTCTTCTATGGTCATCTCGTGACGCTCCTACAACATGCTCGATGGTAGCGGTACGTCTCTACGGACGTGGGAGTGAGCCAGGGTTCGAACATTCAGCGAAGGCTAAGGAAAAGGTCCATTCGGGTGCGGTATAGGGCAGCGGAGGCGAGGCAACGGAACAAAAGGCTGTCGTATGCGGCAACAGTGTCCAAAAACGCAAAGCTTGCGCCGCCGAGGTCTGAACTATGCGAGAATGCCCTACAATTCAAGAACTTAAGTTCGCTTAGGGCACATGCAGTGCATATGACAGTGGAGCTTACCTGCACACCGAGCGGACCACCGGCGAAAACGCTGAATGGCACTTTGGCAAGACTGGTTGTCGTCGAGCAGAAGGATAGAAGCGTCGGATGCTTGTGTGTCAAAGTCTAGCTATCCGTTCTGCCAAGAGACGGCTAGGTCGATAGAGCCACTGATTTTGTCAATAAGCAAAGGATATATGTGATGCAATAATTAGGGAGACGCATGTCGAGAATCCTCGCCTCTTCAGTTGGACCTTCGAAACGCTCGCGTGGGACATGCATTACTGACTGGATCGTCGAGAACGTACTTTGTGCTAATGCGTCAGGTGAAGCTCGCATCGCGCATGAAACAGATGTACCAAAGGTCTCAGTCAGGATTTAGCTAGGGTTGCCATGACCGCAATACACGATCCGAGACTTGAGACAGTGCACATAAATGACAGGAACCAAGCAGATACAAGTGGCGAGGTATTGAGGACACCGACGAGCCACGGCGGGAGGTCGTGGAGTGCGTGCGGAATATTGGGCGTCGATGTTGAGACCGGTCCTCGTAGCGCCCATAATATCGTATGCGGGCCACAAACCCTAACCAGAACGACAGCCTCATTCGGCCCTCTCGTGGCGGCAAACCCGGACTCGCCGTAGGTCTGCTCCAAACCTTGCTGCGATCGCCGCCCATGCTGAGCGCTGAGCGCTGAGCATTGACGTATCCCACTGCAGCCACTTCCTGCATTTTCCAGAATAGAAAATATTCCAATGACTTGTCCGCGATATTCCAGGCCAGGTTTCAGCTGGTCTAATATCCTACGTCATATTCGATGATAGCGGTGCGCCTCCACGAACGCGGGCGATGGGCCAAGGCTCGAGTAATCAGTGGAAACAGCAAGAAAGGTCCGTTCGAGTCCGGTATGAAACGGCGCAGGCGAGGCGGCAGAATGAAGATTGTAATATGCAGCGACAACGTTGAAAAACGCAAAGCTTGCGCCACCAAAGTCTAGGCCATGTGAGCATGTCCTGCACTGCAAAAACCCGAGCTCGCTTAGAGTGCGTGTAGTGTATACGACAGCGAGACTCACTTGCGTACTGGGCGTATTACCAGCGAACAGGCTGGAACACCGAAGACACTCTGGGAAGACTTGTCGTATGTGCCTTTGTGCAGGGCTCGTCGAGCAGAAGGACAGATGCGGCAGACGCGTGTATGTTCATGTTAAGCTAGCCGCTTTGCTGAGAGACGGCTGAGCCGTTGGCTGCTGAACTTGCAATAAGCAAGGATATACGAGACACAGCAATCAGGGAGGGAGACGCACCTCGAGATTCCTCACCGCTTCGACCGCTTTGCTCCACCCTCAAAGGACTCGCATGGCACGCGCATTACTCAAGGCCGAGAAATGTACGTTCTGTTAAGGCGTCGAGTTAAGCCCGCATCGCGCATGGAAACAGACGTAGTACCGCAAGGTCCGGTCAGGACTTAGCCAGATACACTATAGCCGCAATACGCTATCTGAGACCTGAAAGAGTGCGCACAGATGACAGAAAACAAGCAGATACAAGCAGAGAAGCGTCTAGGACAGCGACGAGCCATAATCTGAGCATGGAGGACGGAGGTCGTGAAGTTGGTCTGGCAGGCTTGCAGAAACGGCGTTGGACACCCGCCCGAGATGGCCGCTGGTGCCGCAAACCCTAACCAGAGCGACAACCTGCGATATGGTAAGTCTGAACCTTGCTGCATTGTTGCTCACGCTGAGCGTTGATGTATCCCTCTGCATCCTCTTCCACAGACAGAAAACCATTCTGATGGCCTGACTGCGGTATTTCAGGTCAGGTTTCGGCTCGTCAGAAGGCAGAATTTGTCCCATTCAGGTTGCCGAGCGTTGCGGTGCATAAATACGCAAGCTAGTTCTGCTACTCCCTTCCTACCATCGATATCATCATCTCGTGGACGCATCGCTGTACAAGGACGCCGTCACTTCCCGCGTTTTGACATACCACTACTACTTCTCCCCTGCCCAGCCCTCCAACTCGACGCTACTGTTCTGCCATGGCTTCCCATCCACGTCCTGCGACTGGCAATACATTGCGCCTCGTCTGAACGACAAGGGCTACGGTGTGCTCACTCTGGACATGCTCAGCTATGACGGAACCGACAAGCACGCCGACCTGGCAGTGTACGTCCCGAGCCTGATATCCAAAGACACTGTTGATGTCTTGGGTGCTGAGAAGCTTGAGAAGGTTATTTACATCGGCCAGGACTGGTGAGTTTGTTCTGTTCTTCATTGCTGGGGATTACTCCAGATGCTAAGCTGCCAACTGCAGTGGCTGCAAGGCGATCTCGTGCCCCACGAACTATTATCACGAGCGCATCCTCGACTATGTCTTCCCCGCCACCTCCTTCGTACAAGCGCTTCCCCCGATGGACTTCCAAGTGCTCCTGGATTCTCAGGTATGAGACGTTCAGCTAAACGAAATCGCGAGTGAGGTCATACGTAGGTGGCAGATGCGCACACACCTTTTCCTACAACCGCTGACGCGTTTCGCAGATCGACTCGTTCGTCAGCGTCATGTTTCCGCAACCCTGGGATCTGGAAGAAGCACCTAGCCCCAATGGGCGCGCTCGAGCGGAGTCTGCTCGACAGCTTCGCCTCGTTCTGGCCTGCTTACCTGTCCGAGGAAGAAGCGAAGCACTTTGTAGAGACGTCCAGATGCCGCGGCTTTTGCAGCAACGACGTACTCTGAATCCTGCTGCATCGCCGCCCACACTGAGTGTTAATATATTCCGCTGGTAGCCTCTTCCTGCATTTTCCACAGAAGGAAAACTATTTCGATCGCCTGTTCGCGATATTGTAGGTGAGGTTGTGACTGGTCTGAAATCGTCTCGTTGTGCCGGCCATTGCGCCGTACAAATCCCAGTCTGCTACCCTCTTTCTACCATTGGTATCATCATCTCACGAACGCATCGCTGTGCAATGGCCTCATCATCTCCCGCGGCCTGACCTACTGAGCACTTCTCACCCACCCAGTCTTCCAAGTCGACCCTCCCGTTCTGTTATAGCTCCCCATCCACGTCTCGCGACTGGCGCCATATCGTGCCTCGTCTAAGGGCTGCGGCGCGCTCCCCCTCGGCATGTTCGGCATTGGCGAGACCGACAAGCCCATCGACCCGGCGTCGTACGTCCTGAGTCTAACATCGAGAGACATTGCCGATGTCTTGGACGCCGAGAAGCTTGACAAGGTTAATGCTATCGGCCATGGTTGGTGAGCTCGTTTCGTCTCTCCTCGCTCGTGGCGGTCTCAGATGCTGAACCGCCAATTGCAGGGGCTGTAAGGCAGTCTCACACCTCACGAGCTACCATCCCGAGCGTATCTTCGCGTACGTCTTCCTCGGCATCTCGTTCGTACATGTATCAGCCCCGATGGACTTCCAGGAGTTCCCGGGCTCCCTGAAGCAACAGCTCGGGTGCAAGGCGTTCGGCTAATGGAGATTATTGAGCGATCCAGATGCGAACGAAGTCATCCAGGTGCAGGTAGGTGGTGGACGCGCGCCCGTCTCGTCCCGCAGTCGCTGACGCGTTTCGCAGACCGACTCGTTCGTCGACGTCAGTTTCTGTGCGGCCCTGAGATCTGGAAGGAGCGCCTGGCACCGACGGGCGCGCTCGAGCAGAGCCTGCTCGAAAGCTTCGTCTCGCTCCGGCTATCTTACCTGTCGGAAGAAGGCGCTGTGGGGACATTCAGACGCTGAGGCTTTGCGGTGCCGACATGCTGGTGCAAGGACTTTGCCGCAGAGATACCGCTTGAGCAGGCCTGAGCTCTACCGGCCAGGGCGCCGATCCACTTTGCCGCGGCGGAGGACGTCTGTGTTTGCCTTTCCAAGACCGGCTGTGCGCCCTTTGGGCAGGAGGTGTTCAGCGGGCACGGCGTGGCGATGGAAACATATGACGCGAACCACTAGCTGATTCTCTCCCATGCAGACGAGGTTGTCTGCAATCCTGGAGTGTGGATCGAAGGCACGGTGCCACGAGGGCTGACGATTAAGCTGGTAGTCTCTGTACGTACAGAAGATGTGGTGGCTGATGCCCTCTTTATAGATATCGCTTCCGTGTCTCAGTCCCTTGTCAGTCATACGACGATTTGAGTCTCTATTGAGCGCAGCTCAGTTGAGAAGAAAGATAATAATAATAAGTAACATCTCGTCTCGAGGAGGAAGACACTGTAGTAGTAGCATCTTTGCGATAATCTGATTGGCTGGTACACTTACACGTAGCGCAAACCGACGAATGATGACTATTGGGGACCCGAGATCGAGGCTTGCTTTGTTGCAGAAAGAAGTGCACGGATAGAGGCATCTACAGGCATGTGACGGGTGGCAATTGCGTGAAAGAAAGAGAGCAAAGCAGCGAGCTAGAGGCTGGGATCGGAGGCTCTGTATGCGATTAACACTACGGAGTCCGGAACCCGTAAAATTCCCTGGGTCAACGAGCGATTTTAACAAATTCGCCCGGAAACCAGGCTAGAAGTGGGTAATCCCGAGGTCCAGGTTATTTTTGCGCAGCCGTCCATATTTGGTCTAACTGCCTAAAATATACATGATCCTGCTGAAAACCGCTGTCCCTGATTTTTCACTCATGTCGCCTGCATAAATTGCCCCGCCCGTACCCTCTGCGGTCGACAGCTCCCACACAGGCAGCTCTGCCGTTACGAGCTCGACTTGTCCTGCGAGACATTCAATCATTGCTCTGGTACCGGGGACCGTACTGAGCCATCAAACCTTTCCCGCACTTCCGCCACTGCGGCGCTTCTTGTTTGCCTTTGCCTCTTCCTCATTCTCCCGGAGCGAGCGGTAGTGAGAGCCATCAAATACGTCATTCACCTCACTGGGACAGTAACACTTGTTCGGGAGCCCATTTCCTGTCTGCTTTCGTATGTGCTCGCAGTGTGGTTCAGGGAC